ATGCCCTTGAATTGTGACAATTTCACTTGCAATAAATTCAGACTAGAAATATGAGCAAATCAACTCCTGTTATTGTGCTAGCAGGTTGCACAGTTAGAAGCCACAATATGTTTGCATCTCACATCCCAGCCACGGGGTCAGTAACCTTTTGGCAGAGAGGTGGGATAAGAAGGACAAATTGGATAATGTTTGCTGCAGCTAAAGCCATGTGTATGCCCATTTCAGAGGCTGACTGTCATGCAACATACAGAGTACCTGCAGATACTTACCACTTATCTCAGTAGCAATGGATGCTACTGAACCTGTCAGCCTTTCCCAAGCACTCAACCCTCTCTCAAGCCTATGACATTTTTCCCTAGCACACTCAGATCTCTGCCCAAGACCTCTCTCTCTCCTGTGTCCCGTGAGGGCCACCATTCCCAGGGATGGCTTTTGTATATGTCTGTCATGGCATTTGTATATGAAAAGTAAGTTCCACACTCTGAAAGCCCAGGGAAGGGCCAGCAGTCCTTATTGTGTCCTATGGGCCAGAGTTGAGTTATCACAGAAAAATATAGCTGCCCTTCAGCCTTACTCTAGCCTGTGCAAAGTGAAATATTCTTCATCAGCTTCATGGTCTTCAACCTTGAAAAACTGAATTTATCTGGTCTTTATGCAAATTAAATTAATGTCACCCCAGGTGAAAGGTTTCATGTGACAGGCCTTTTAAATTTAATATTTTTTCTTCAAATTGTCTGTTATCTTCTACTTAAAAACACAAATTGAATATTAAGTATGGACTTATTGCAGCTATTAATCATTTGGCTAAACAAAACCACTAGCAAATTGTGAATAGCTGTAAATAAATAATAGGTCTGCTACCTCTTAGTTCCATGTAGACTGGCTGTGAATTGAAAGACAAAATAAGAGCTGTCGCATAGTTTAGGGAAAATTCTGCTAGTTTTGTGTTAAGGTAAGATACAGAAACACGATCACTATACAAGGTCTAACTATTATTACTTAATGTTATTTTGCTTCCTCTGCTACACACAGCTTACCTGCTGCTGGGTTCTAATCTCCTAGGGCTGTTTTATTTAATGAGGGTTTCATATAAAATGCATATAGGGCTTTCTTTTCTCAAATAAATTACCAACAGGACTACAGTTGCCCTTCTCCCCTGGTGAGTCTCATGATCTTCACTGCTGGTCCAGTATTATGTGGGTAGACAGTACAACTTATCCTATCACCAGAGGTTTGGGCACTTGCAGAGGTGGCAGAGGCGGAAATTGTTCCCCAACCTCCTGCTTCTTTGATAGATTTTTTTACCGGTTGCAGACAAGGAAAATTGCAAACTCTCAAAATCAAAACACTGGGATGAAATGATTACTGAGGTAATTTAAGCCTGCCAATTCTATTTTTTCCCCCTTTTAAGTGGTCAACCTCTGAGAATTAGCAAAGGGAAGAAAAGGGGAAAGAGGCATTGTGTGATGAGGAAAAACAAACCCAAAGAACTCCAGAATTCTTGACCCATTCATCAGATTATGTACAAAAAAAAACCACTGAAGACATTTTGCTCAATGTTCAAGGGCAGAAATTATCCAGAAGTCCATTCCCTGGGAAGACAAACTTCATTAATATGTAGCTACCATCATTCATCTCCATTTATTTTTTATGAATGTTTTCTTCTGTGCTTTGTCCTTTCTAACTCTCTCCTTTCTACCTTTCTGCTTTCTTATTTAAATCTTCTCCTTTTTTGTGATACTTTCTTCATGCCTCTCATCCTTTACTATTCATAATTGTCCTTCTCAGGCAAGTGAAAAACTTAGGGGTTTTGTTACTAGTCCTTCATCAGGCAGAGTAAAAATCCTTTGTGACTTTTCCGTGCAGATCATTTACTAGCTCTTTGGTTCTATTTTTTCGGATGTGTTAGATAGATAGACTTCATTGCTATTTCTTCACCATAAAGGTAGAAAGTTGCTAATGGAATGCGTAACTAGGAAGATCAATTGAGGATTGACTTTGCAATTGACAGCTCAAAAACAGTTTTTCCCTGGACCTTTGCAATTTCCTACCTATATTTGTTTCCCTTGATGGTGCCTTTCTTTTCCCAAATTGGTGTGTGTATTCCCTTCTCAACCTGAGAGGAAAGGCATCTCTGTAACATTATTGCATCATTCATTTTCCTAACTTTTCTCCTTTTCTCTTTACGATGAAAGAAGATTTGGCGAACTCAAGGACCAACAGTCGAACCCTTTTCATGTTTCTCATAAATCAAATTCATTGTCTTATCTCTGCTCTCCTACTCACTCATTTACCAATCTTTCATGTATTTAACAGTCTTCCTAGTCCACTGATTGCTATGTTAGCCCAACAAAGAAAAGGGTTTCAGTATTAGAGTGTTCACTTCATTTGATCAGAGAATTACACTATAATGATCCTCTAATAACGGAGCTGTCATGCTGTATTAAATCCTTTCTATATGTGCTGTCAACTGTTTACACCATTCTGCTTGCCCCAGACTTCACATTTCCAAATATACTACAGTGATAGCTGACAACAGCATTGATAAACATAATATACAGTGTATGGTTGAAGAAAAGAAGTGGAAGGAATTTGAAAAATGGCTTGGAATGTGAGACTAAACCAATATTACCACAAATGTTTTAATCAGTGTGTATTTTTCTACCAACCAGTTCATTCTTGTTTTTCTGTGTTTTTCCACAGTGGTTATGTCTTTGATTATGATTACTACAGAGATGATTTCTACAATCGGTATGTGTGGTTATATTTTTGTATATCCTACACTATTTCTACTGTTTGTTTGTAATGTAATCACATCATTTGGTTAGACAGGTCTGTTCTGATTTTACGTATTATTCATTTCATTATTTCTATTGTCTATCAGAAGACTACTTGAATATATCACAGAGAAGATTACCACCACCAAATGTATGCTCATTAAACATCTCTTCTGGTCTTATCTTTCTCTGAGAGCTTGTGGGGCATTTTCTGTGCTGAACAGTTTAATGGTATTTTATGCTCAGTGTTTCTTCCTACAGAGTTCTTCCAGGCTTACTCTCACTGGAACATATAGCAGCTGTAAAATTCTTCAGTATGACACTCGTGTCTTTGTCTTTTCATCCATGTGTATGAAAAGATGTAGAATGTGTCCTGAAAAATGTGTCTTCCAAGAACGTTTAGAAGTCTAGAAGGACCTTGAGGGAAGCAAGACCACAAGTTGAACGGCATGTGTGTTTCTATAGAAGGAAAAGAAGCGTGGATACCTGAACAATTGGAGACTTGTGCCTTGAATACGTACACACAGCCTAGCTCAGTACTGTGGGAATGTATTCATTCAGATGTTGCAGAATCACCACAACACAGGGTTAACATGGATGACCATGGATAACCAACCCATGACGCAGCAGTGTTGTGTCTCTGCATTACAGCAACTTGGTTTAGCATAGGCCAAGTGAGTCAGAGGGGAACAAAACATTGCTCCACCAACCTTTTCTAATCTGAGATTTCTTTTATGTAAAGCAATGGACAATAGCAGGGGAGTGGTTTACACCCCAAAGTTAAGTTACCATGTGCTATGTACCTTTCTGCTTAGGAACACTGTAGGAAAAATTTAGAAAAGATTTTGTTTTGTTTTGTTTTTTTCCTGGGGTTGGTTCAATTCGAGCCACTAGTTTTGTTTTTGCATGTAAATGACCATGCTCACTTGTCACTTTAGCTCTGTCCACAGAGATAAAAATATTGAGCTATAAACATATGGAGTAAAAGCCATCAGTGCAGTCTAATTCTGCTCAGTCCAGCCTTGACAGTAGGAGCAGCTCATATCCTGTCAAAAGTTAACTTCCACAGGCTTGTGCTTACAACTAGTTACCCAAGGTTACTGCTCCAAATTTCATCAGAGGATTTGTATGTTTTTAAACAGATTACTGTTTCTGATCTATGCCACCTGAACATTAAAATTATATGTCTTTAGTTTTTTCCTTAATTCTGTGTATTATGGGTAGCACAAATGAACAGCTATAATGGTTACATTTCCACAACAAAATAAATACTTATGTGGCGTTAAAGGTTGTTTCTGTGGAACCTCGTGTCTATCTTGGTGATTGTATTATGGAAAACCACTGACAGTGAAATGTGTCCATAACCTGTTCAATAGTATAATTTTCTGATTTCAAAATTTTTCAGGATTAAGACAGCAGAAGTTTTATGGTCAAAAACCCAAATATGAGGTTGGCCTCACAAGGCTGGACATGTTGATCTTTGACATAAAAAGTTTAGGAGGTTAAGGGTCTCTGTTAGATCCAAGTTAATGGAGTAGAAGATGAAAAGCTCTATATGGTAGGCATGGAAAAGAAAAACCCATGGAAAGTTTGATCTACTATCAACATGCTTATAGGAAATAAAAATTAAGAAATATATTACAATATATTAAGAATATATACAATATATATTACAATATATTAAGAAATTAAGAAATATTAAGATTCTTTGAATTTCTGAACTTCTGAACTTTCGGAATTTCTGTGTTTTACCCCAAACCATAGGTCTCGTTTTCTAATATTCATTAATTTTCCAACCTCCCTGAAGGGACAATACACCTATTTTATCTTGACTAAAACATTGGTGGGGTCAGAAAAGGGTGACAATAATGGTTAGTGCTGTAGAATAAAATCTGTATGAACACAGATTGACAAGATCAGGACTGCACAATTCAGAAGGGTGGGTGAAAGAAAAGGTACCGTTTTATGCACATTAGTGATTATTGAGACAAAGAATTGCTTCAGAACTGAGCATTTCTGTTTATCATTTCTCTTATTACAAGCACAAGGAAAACAGGCAGGGTACTTCAAAACTGATAAAAGGAAGCATTTTTTTAAAGAAAGCAATTATTGAAACACATAGAACTTGGTACAGCAAAATACCAATCCCAAAAGCTTTGCATAATTTAAAAAATAAAAGTAAGAATAGCAATATTAGATAACAGTCCTTTTATATATTTCAAAAAAGGAAGCATAGTTTTGCATTTCACTACATTATCTAAACATGAACAATTGGAAGCTAGAAAAAAATCACCTTTGGAGGAATAATTGCATAATAATCTTTTGCGCTATAGCTTACAGTTCTTCTGAAACATTTTGTTCCAGTAATGTCAAACAGGAGATTGTGACCAACCAGTAGATCATCCAATATGATAAGTGATGAGTGACAATAAACAATAATATTTCTGTTAAAAGTCCCAGAAATGTTTTAGTGTTCATCTTCATACACAATTGTTTAGTTGTGCTCACAATAGCTACAAACTGCTTATTCAGTAAGAATATCCAAGGCCATGGAGTTCAAGTTCAGTGGGGGTGACAGGATCTCTGTGGTACATTTTGTAGGCAGCTATGGAAAAGGAGGGAGCTGGTTATATTTTCTGTAGGATTATGGTACAAACAACATTAAGAATCCTGGGATTTAAGCATTAGGTGTTTACTTGCCAGAAAATGGGCTAGAAGACTTTCTGCTTCCTGTTTAGTATGCTGTTAGACACTGTGGTGAGTGAATTACTGTTTCTTGTGTGTCTGTTTTCAAATATGTATCTATCTGCCCAGCTGGGTGACAGTAGTCAGAATTGTGAAAATTAAACATGCAGTTATAAATTTCCATAATTACTAGTTGCAAGTATCATTTGAAAGAAACTTGAGAATATTTTGTGAGAATGCTGCTTGTCCCTCTACTTCTGTTTCTCAACTGGAAAACTTAATCTTCTGAACTTTCTTCTCCTGACCTGTTGTATTCAGAGCCTATAGCTTTTATGTTCTAAATATATCTGTAGCTTTGATTACCTTTTCTACTGCTTTTATTTTCTTCTATGCAGATTAGCTAGCTGCTGTTGATAACTGTGTTTTTAGGATTGGGGTATTCTGTTTGGGAACACTAGTTCATTTTGGTGTAGAGTATCTTTTATTGACTGTAGTGGTAATTCTCTGAATATCTACGTGCTACAGTGGTTTTGGTTTGAACAAGACTTTTTTTTTTGGTAAGCATGCGTGGGTATTTTAGTGATTCTACATCAATTCATTCTTCAATAAAAAGAACATATGCTGGGACCTCTTTTGTATGCATTCAGAAGGATATACAGGTCCCTCACTATAAAGACTTTTTTGCCATTTTAGAAATGGCAGGATATTTCTTTGTGGTGATGGCTGGCTTCAGAAAAGTTCATTTCTTTTTCTATCTATAAGGATAGCAAATAGAAAACTAGAATTTAAGCCATACATGTAATAAAGGAGCTGAAATGTCACCACAACAAAATGTACTGCTGTTAGTTGTGTGCAATGAAATGGTGCGGACCTGTGGAAAGGAGGTTATGGATTTTCCATACTGCAAATAACAGAGTCCCATAACGCATCCCTCATTTAAATTATGCAAAAAATTTGAGCTATGCACTGGACTGTGACTGAAATCCGAATATGGCACTTAATATGCATAGGTCCTTGAAATCTAATTTGACTGTGATATAAAGTGATTATGGTTTCAAAGGGTAATTTTCTCAAAGATAACATGAAAATTTAGTTGACAGGGCTTCCATGACATGAAATCACAGAATTTTTTATGGAGTCCAGCTAACTTAATCTTTTTTAGGTTGTTTGATTACCACGGCCGCGTCCCACCACCACCCCGTGCAGTGATTCCACTGAAGCGTCCTCGTGTGGCTGTGACAACAACTCGCAGAGGCAAAGGGGTTTTCTCCATGAAAGGAGCATCACGATCCACCTCAAGTGGCGCTTCTTCCTCAGGATCCAAATGTGAGTTGCTCATATCTGTCGGATATTATTAAAACAATGATCCTAGTCACTTCTGCAAGAAGACAGCTTCCACTATATAGCTCTGTTGTAGTCATTTCCTACCCTCAGCCTTTAGCTTGAAAAACTGGTTTGATTACCAAAGCTGCCATCCTTTCCTGCAAGTCAAAGAGCACACTGATGTAACTTTTGAAGGAAATCCCTTCCACAACATTTGACCTACAGATCACTCCCTTAGCCTCAGAAGAAGCCTGTTTAAAATCTCCTATCATCCTGACTGCTTATGCACCATGAGGTCTTGGGAACAGCTGATAATAAAGCAAAGCTAATAATCTTATTACAGACAGAGGCACAGTGATTTCTGTTGAGACTCAAAGATTGTATGTGAGCTGGGGGGGCGGGG